GAGTCAGAAGTCAGAAGTAAAATAAAAAAAAAAACGAGCTTGAGAAGCTCACCTACTCACTTTATTTTAATATGAGTCTTTTATACCAATATTAGCATTGAAAGACTCACAGTCTACTACAAAGTATTTCACATTAAAAATCTACATACAGATGATGCTACATAAGCAAGACAAAACTGAGAGGGAAGTACAGGCACACATGAAAAGCAGTAATATAGTTAGTTCCAGTAGTTATAGCACTATCTGCCTTATACAGAATTTTTACAATTTTACTTTTTTTAATTACAGATGGATCAGCCAGGAATCCTTTAATGAAAAATAAACTGCTGAAAAGCCTTCTAAAGCTAACAAATAACTAACTAGGAAAAACAGTATTAGGAATTCATTCCCATAACAGTTTTGTCCCCCAGTTCATGGGAAAAGGCATGGAAGGTATAAAAATCAGCCACCATTAAGATAATGCAATGGGTAAGAAAACATGGCATCTGGCAGCCAGTTTTGTCTTGCATGGCTGGCTAACAGGGGTGATCAGAGACTGGTAAGGCAGGTATTTCAGGAAAGGAGGCAGCTTTCCTGCTGCCCCTTGTTTGGTCATGAACCTCAAAAGTACAGTTTGACATCAGCTGGTTTTATTGGAGCAGGGTTTTGCAGGGATGTAAAAGGAATTTTCCTGAAAAAGACACAGCAGGGAGAGGCTTCTGAATTTGTACTTTCATCTTAGAGTGCATTCTGGTTTATTTTCTCCATGTACTTGGCCACCTACAGGGCCTTCTGTGGCTTTAGATAAAGAAAATACTGAGCAGTAAATTCTAGATTTGGGGCAGGCAGTTCTTCAGATGTCATGGGAGAAACAGAACGAAGATAGAGGAACTTAGTCTCATGGACCTCTCTTTCCTTACAAATATGGTCCTTGCCTTAACAGAAGGAGTGATGTTCTTTGACCACATGAATTTTGTTATACGTATTACATTTACAATTGTTTATATAAATATGTTCTATTCTACTTACATGCTCTATGTGAGTGTTGCCTTTCTGCCTGTTGCCAGAATTTATAAATAAAGACCAATTTAAACAGATAGGGAATCCATGTGGCTACTAGTTCTATGTAATCTGTGTCTCAAGAGTATTATTAACAATTAAAAACAAATTAAATACGACTGACTGCCTTCCTTTTTGTGCTCTAATGTGTTCTCACAGACACATGAGGAAACTGAACAGGAAGGCCCAAGATCCAGTGGACAAAATAAAGCATGAAGAATGGCTACTGAATGAAAAAAATAAAACAATTGAAATAATAAAAAAGAATCCTAAATCAAAATTAGTTTCCAGTGTGGACTTCTGGTATTTATTCCACATTATCAGAAAAACTGAACATTTAATAATTTTCCATCCTCTTTCTCAAACAAAATGTATCATAGAATCACTGAAGTCTACAGAAAACAAAAAATATTACTATTACAATTGACTCTTAACACATCCCTCCTCTACCACCAAAGTGGTTTATATGAATGAGCTCAGGTTTGTTTGTATCAGTCATTTGAACTGCTGACACAAACCTGGATGTTTTCCAGCAACTCTAGAGATTTTAACCCCCATCACAAAGCCAGAAATCAAAAGGATAGTAAGCTGTTGTGTTTTAAATTGCCATAGTCACTAACTTAAATTAACTTCTGTCTATAGTCTTAACTTTGTTATTTTCTATTTGACCTTCATTCCAGGATTTGCCAGTAAAAAACCTTGCTCTGAAAAATCATGGGAAATGGTTCATGCTGCTTTTGATAAACTTTCAACAAACAGTACTAAGACAAGTCTATTAAACCAAAATATGTTACTTCTTTAACCTTGTAACCACTCAGTAATAATGGGAACAGAATTAAAATATTCAGTAGAATTTAAGGGTATAGTGACCTAACAGATATTTTATCTTTAGGAATGTCTGTAAGATTAAGATATCTCTTCAGTCCACAGAAGGAAAAACAAAATCCTACAAAGAGATTAAAAGCATAAGAAAATGACCTTTAACCAAACAGAAGACCTTGATAGAAAATTCTCACTTGTGGTCATCATTTTTTATTCAGTTAGGTCCTTTCACAGTTGAAAAAGATTGGGGTATGGGTTTTGTGACTGCTTAACTACTTTAAAGCTTGAGGCACTCAACGGACCACTCTAGAGATTTAGAAAAGCCATCTGGAAAGAAAATCTATTTATAAACAAACTGCAGTTTTGAGTTTTGATCTGGTCCAGTATTTCTGTCATTAGTTAACCTGCATCAGCATCTTACACGACAAGATTGCTCAGTGCTCCTGCTAAATGCAAAGGTTCGTGAAAAATGCAGTTTTGAAAGTTTGCTTCATCTATCCCAAGGAAGATAAAAAGCATGAAACCAAAAGGGCTGTGGTTTCCTACTTTGAATTTCTGAAGGAAGAAGCAAGTCCTGACAAATTGCTGGGAATGGATATCCTCTGACTGAAAAGGAAGGAAGAGCAGTCCTCAATTACAAGACATCTCCAGATAGCAGAAGCACACACATACCTGATGGAGCAATGGGTCTTCTGGGCTTCACCCTGCTGACAGTGCAACACCAGACTCAGCACAGAATCAGGAGGACAGTCGATCGTTGCAAGATTACAGAAATCTCACTCAAAGGAGGAAGTAAATATCCCAAAATGAAGGTATATAAAGGACCAAGGAATTAATGTCTTAGGACAGAGATATTTGAAAGGCTCAGATACCTCACATTGCTGTCTGAACTTTATTTTCTTTGACATTCAGCAGCACTAGAAATTTCCACCCTTCTTGAAGTCACTCAGTTCAAATTTTATGTTAGGCTTTCAATGCAGCACAGTAGTCCTAAATAACAATATTTGATATGCATGTAAACATTTCAAGGAAATTCATAAGATGTGGTCTACCAAGGATAATTATTATTATTTATTTTACAGAGACAGAATAGTTTGTCCAATCCAAAGCCACAAAGCAGATAGAGTTCATTGTGAACTGAATAAACAACAGTGTGGGAGGAATGTGCCTTCCCAAATAACAAGGATTTAGGAATTCTCTTTCTAAAGCTTATCAAAAGAGGCTGGTACAGCTTTCCTCAATTTGACAGTTACAGTCATACAGGAGAACAAGGCTCTGTTAATATCTGATTTTAGAATTACAGAAAAAAATAATTTGGATCCTATAAGTCAAATTTTAAAAAATAAAATGTCACTCACAAATTAAATTATTACATTCCATCTACCGTTACAAACATTTCAGTTTTGATGCATTTTTAACAAAACCAAAGGGATGCCAATGTCTTACACCCAAGCTGCAGTCCAGGTCCTTCACCTCCTTGCTGGGGAAATGTCATGATCTGAAAGGGAGATACACAGTTTTGTCTGATAACTAAAAGCAACGTGGCAGGTGCTGGAATGCTCATTTAGAATATGTGAAAGGTAGATCCAAAATCCATTTCCCAAGAAAGTGCCCAGACCATTGCCCTATGCAGGAATCTGAAAGAATTGTTGTAACAGGTTAGACAAGTGACACTTTTTACCAAGCCTTCCTCCTGTATTATCAACCAATATAAGCCTGTGATCTCTGTAAAAGCCAGTAACTTTCCAGAGATCATGAACTTACAGAGTATGTGTATGACTAATGTCTGCTTAATGTTTAATCTCTATTATGAGTAATTTCAAATAGGGTTTAGGGAAA